ACAGTTCTGGTGGGGTCCCATGTATGGGAGCTAGTTGGCTCGTCAGTTGGATCTGGTCTCGGTGGGAGCTTCAGCGCCTGTAGGAAGGAGTCTGCCTCCTGGGATGAGGTGAGATGCAGAGTAGTGCCGTTGTGATCCACAGACAAGGTTTTGGGTGTTGTCCAACGGTAGATTACCTTGGCGTCTTGAAGGCAACGGGTCACTAGGAGTATGTTTCGTCTCCATTGAACTGTGGATCGTGTTAAGTCTTGATAAAAAGTAAGACTTGCAGATTCAAAGTCCAGTGGTGTTTTGCCCTTTAGCGGTGCAAAGATGGCGTTTCTGTCTGCACGAGTGTGCCACCTGACGATTACATCCCTGTTTTCTTGGGGGGGTCCCTGTGGTGATTTGCGGATGCGAAACATCTCTGCGATGGCCAGTTTTTTGGCCTGTGCGTGTGGCAATATGGTGGCTACCAGTCGCCTGAGGTAATGCGGCAACTCTGACTGGCTGATGTTGTCGGGGATTCCCCTGATTTTTACAATGCATTTGCGGCTCCTCTCTTCTGTCGCCTCTAGTTTACTGAGCTGAGTTGAGTGAGAGGATTTTAATTGTGATACTGTTTCTTTAAGGCCTTTTATTTCTTGTGTTATGTTGTTTATATCTTCCTCTGTGGATTTCACGCGGTCCGTGACCGCTTGGACCTCCGTTTTTCTTATGGCCATGTCTGCTGCTGACATTTGTTTTAGTTCAAGTAAGAGGTTTTTAATGTCCAGTTTGGTGGCTGGTGTTAGCGCATCTGGGTCAGCCTGTATGTCATGGGGTGGCCGTAGGTCTAGTGTATCTCCCGCAGCATGATCCGAGTTTGTGGAGTTAGTCTCTGGGTCAGGTGTGGCCGCCATCTTTGGGCCCGCTGGGCGCTGGAGCATGGCGCTAATGTCATGGGTGTACTTACATGCACCTGCTGCCGTCCGCTGGGATTTTCTTCCCATGGTGTCCGGATCGGTGTGTTTGTTCTCTGCTGGCTGTGCGGTTATGGAGAGTGCTGCGCTGTATAGCGCCATTTCAAGGGCCCTGTAATCTGGGTAGGCCTTGGCTTTGTGGCTGACTTTCCAACCTGTCTGCTGGAATGTAAAGGGCATCAGTCGGGTGTCTGCTTTGCTCTCCCGGTCTGCACGCAGGGTTCCAGAGGTATGTGGGCTCTTTTAGTTGTATTTTCTCGTTGATTTTGTCTCATTTTGGCCGGAGCTCTCCGTGTGTGAGACTGCTTGGTTCTGTGGCTAAGCTCTGCCCCCCCAAATTTCAAATTTAAAAGGACAACGTATGCACCAGAACAACTTTAGCTTAAAGAAGCAGGGTGGGTGTATAGGCTGTGACTGATACAGTATGCATGAAAAAAAAACATTTAATTTTCAATCAGATGCTAATTTGCTTTAGAAGTTTTTATCTCCTGCTTTGTAAATTGAATTTTAATCACCCACACAGGAAGCTCCTGCAGGGTCTAGAAGGATATTAGCAGATCTGGAGATAATAAATTCTAAATTGAACAGAATGTGCAATAAAGAAAGTTTAAACACTAGATCTCTCTTTACAGGGAGTTTTTTGGAAGGTTCTGTAAGTCACATGCAGGGAGGTGTAACTAGGGATGGATAAACAAAGTGATTTAACTCCTAATTGGCAGAGGATTCAGCAATGAGAGAGCATGATCTATACACAAAAACTGCTTAATTAAGCTAAAGTTGTTCTGGTGCCTTATAGTGTCCATTTAAGGAAAATTTTTTTAAAAGTTTGGGGAAAAAAATATCACTTTTTCTATTTTGGCCTTAAATTTGAAATTTACTGAATATCCCTGTGAATAGTCGCAGTTGCCTAATTGTCTTATAGCGCCAGTTTTTTTCACAAACCCCTGCTGGTATAAGAACCATTCACTTTACAATAATGTATAATAGTTATGGTGCTTAGACTGACCCTTTAACATTGTTAGCTGTTGGTTTTTGTTTGAAGAATGAATGTAGTCCTTGGCATACAACTACTTTCTTAAGTGGTCAGAACAACTTTCCACCCTACAAAAGCTCCTTTCTATCATGCATTTTCCAGTCTACCAAATTTCTGTTCTGTTATTAGTGGGAAACAATATTACTGTTGATCCAGGTTGGTTGTTCAGTGTTTCTGTTTATGTAGTATTAAATGAATGCATATTTAAGCCTCTTAACATGGCAAGAAATTTAAGGCTGGATAAGTTCTTTGTAGCTGCTATTAGCTACAATGACAGATTAATTAGTCTTCACTACTTCCAGGTGTGTGGCACGCTCTGAGGTCACTGGGAGCACATGAATTCAGTGCGAATTAATATAGTAATAAGAAGGATTATACTCAGTGCCGTGAATCTTACGGCATAATTCTTCATTTCAATAGGCAGACGTCTTACCACTGAGAGTTTGAAAATATACTACAATTTGTAGCTTTTTGTTTACATAATGTATTTTTTAGAGAATACATTAAATTCCTTATATCTTGTATAATTTTAGTGAAAAATCTAAATAACGAAAAAGTGCTGTCCCTTTTTGTTGCTAACACTGCGTCATTGTTCACCATACAAAAATACAATGCATATCTTTTAGTGTTAATTTATGATGGGTGAGGTCAATGGGAACACGTGTATTCCGTGTGAATTTACCTAGTAATAAGATCCATTATACTCAGTACCACGAATCGTTCGGCATTATTCTTCATTTAAATATAAGAATTTTATACAATACATTGTAGTGTACATTTATGGAAGTAAGTGAATAAACAAGCTGAAACGCCCTAAGTAAATTACCAGATTATTAGTTATTGATTGAGATCTGAATCTGCCATCAAATTGTAAAATTTGTATATAATCTCAGAAATTAGTTCAAAATTCCAGGTATATAGTTTTTGCATGTGATGCTCCATAACCACTTTTCAATTCTTCATATGTCCTTAATAATTAAAGGGAAGGAGTGGGGCAGCAATCACTCCCTATTCCTTTAATCCTTTGTAAAGGTGATGCAGGTTCGTAATGCTAATGGCACTTTAATGGTATGTATCAATAATGGACCAGGAAGAGACAGGAGCATTTCCCGATGGTTTATTGTTTATATTATCTTGCTCCATAAACCCCAGTCTTGTGAGAGTGGGTGAAGGGTACTCAATACACCAATAACTATAAAATTATACAAGGTTGGCATGGTGTTTAGACTGATCCTTTTAAGCGATTCTTTTACAGAGTTTTGTTTCTTTCTTGTGGTAATGTCCAACGTCTCGGAGCGCTGGACATTACCATATATGGTAGCCTTCAGCCAATTGTGTCACCAGTGATGTCATCTGTGTACTAGCCATGTGCATCATTTGACAAGCATGTCCAGAAACATGCAAAACATATAAAATAATATAAAATCCAAAATGGCGTTGCTGAGAAAAAAATCCCAGAGGAAATGGAAAACCATCAAAATCGTTGAGTTAAACTGGACATAGGATACATCAGGTTGGTGGGGGGAGGCATCATTTGGGAAAGAGGATGGATCCCTCAGCTGTGAACCAAGGGATCCATTAAATGACAGAGCCACCTAAAACATAATAATGAAGGACATTATTGTGTTACAACAACATACTAGACTAGAATATTAAATAACTTCTAAACTATACTTTTGAAAGCCTGCTGTTTAACCCAGTTATATTGTTAAAATAATATACCCGAACAAAAATGCACCGATGTGCCCAATTTATTTGGGAAAAGAGTTCGAAATGTCAGGAAAAGTCAAAAAAATTTGTCGTAAAACAGAAACACGTATGTCACACGTTTAGACACTTGAAACCATTCAGTAAATCCTAGTTGGCTTCATGATGGCTTACCGATCTACAATACCCTCTCTTCAAACAAAAGCATGAATAGATGTACTCACATGAAAATGTCATCAAGACTCGTCTGGGTAATTAAATCACTGGAGACTTGAATGTTACCATGGAGCGTCTAGATTTTCATATCAGCTGTCCATATCATTTAGGTCTCAATCTGATAAGGAGATGCATTGACGTTTATCTTTATCAAATATTTAATTTGTTAAGTTATCCCCATGTCCCTCATTAAACATGAATCACAACCGTGATCTATTTATTTTCCCCGGGCTCTATTCACAATCAATACATTTAGACAGGTGCAATTGACATCTTAATGAGTGTCGTTGTAATATTGTAAAATTAAGCGTCAGGAAACATTATGCCATGGCAGCAAGGTTTCAAAGAAAATGCCAACTATTTAAACAGAATTTAGAGCTCTGTGAACGCCTATATCTTAATGAATTCAGACCCACGGACAAAGATTACTTGTAAGAACATTTTCTACATAATCAAAGAATTGAGGTGGAAGCCGGTCCTGTACTGACAAGCTGAGATGTGCCTGTTAAGACAGGACGTGAGGAGCAACAGTGACACATTGTAGACAATGTTTGTAATGAGATTGTTCTGTTACTTATTCCAGTGAAGCCAATTATATTCGATGCATTATTTACAGTCCTTTACATACATAATTCTTATCTGAAGGTTTTTAGACATCGAAGATGTCTTTCGTTGTTTCGTTTGGGTAAATATTACATAAGTAGACGAAAAAAACAATTCAAAACCATTCCAGAATGATGTTAAACTTTCTTTTCTTTTTTTAATTAAAATAATAATACATGGATATTTAAAATTATATTTAGAACATGATGATATTTTGAAGATTTAAATTATATATAGAATTGTGTATTATGGGGAAAAAATACCATTATTTGGTCATGGAGATAACATAACAAACTACAAAACTGTGGGTTGAGCGGTTATCAAATGTATTAAGAAACCCTTAAAAAGGCATTATTTTAGGGGGCGTGGCCTGACACCGAGCTGCATGGACGCATCCTAACGGAGCTCCTGCTACCGGGCGAACTAGGGCTAAAATAATCGGGCTGCAAAAAGAACACACAAGATTCCAGTCTTAAGCTACCACTCCCGAGCCTGCAGAGATGTCACACAGGCAAAAAAATAAAGCTGCAAAGGCAGATCGCGCCTCCTTTTTCTTGGCCAAGTCGGCGACACCACACGCACGCGAAGGCCGCAGCCCAGATGCAGATGGCGGTGCCGCTCGCTCCGAGGAGGATCCACCTTTATCCCCAATGTCCTCAGATACAGGACCGGAGGACAGCCCGCCTACAACTCAGCAATTGAAAAAAATGCTGTCGGAACTTACTGACACCATTCAGAAGAACATGGCGACGCAGATACAAACCCTCACCGCAGATCTCAGGAAGGAGATTATAGAGGTGAGCCAACGTACTGCTCAGATAGAGAAGAGGATGGATGATTTCGCTGAAGCGCATAACGGTCTCGCGGACAAGCTGCATGAATTGGACACCGTCCTGCACGACCATGCGGTCAAAATGGCCGACATGGAGGACAGATCAAGACGCAATAACTTGCGTATCCGCGGTATACCGGAGTCTGTGCTCAACCCTGCACTTCCCGACTACCTGTTAGACCTCTTCCAAGCACTGTCACCGGAGACGCACCCGGATCAGCTTATCATCGACCGAGCACATAGGTTGAGAAGACCGAAACACCTCCCCAACTCCACCGCGAGGGACGTGATAGTCCGTGTACACTTTTATCATGCCAAGGAGAGGCTAGTTCGAGCATCCCGCACACCAGGCATGCCAGATCCCTACAAGGACTTAAAAATCTACACGGACCTGTCGGCGGCAACCCTCCAATTTCGGAAAAACCTGACTCCCCTCACAACAACGCTACGGGAGAAAGGAATTATGTACCGATGGGGATACCCAGCAAAATTGCTCATCCAGTACCAGGACTCACTGCACGCTGTAAGTTCGCTGCCGGCTGGCAAAGAAAAATTTAAGATGTGGGGCCTCCCGGTTGCCTCTACAGACGACCATAACAAGGCAAAGATACCTCGGATGACCCCTGAGTGGACCCCGGCCTGAACAAGACCACTCTGCGAGACCTGCCTCTTCTCCTGCGGAGAGAGTGTTAAGTATGCCTAACACTTACTGCGGCACACAGCGCAGTCACTAAGACCTATGAACTGTTGATGACCAAATGTTACTAAAGGCTATGTTCTTACTTTTAGTGTATTACAAGTTAAAAAAAAAAAAAAAATGCCTGCGGCACGAGAAAGCCTCAGCATACTATCTCTTTAAGCCATTCCAAGCCCTAAGAGCCACATATGAGCCACGACAACATCAGGCTCACTTAATGTACCCCCTACATTGCAGCCAAGATCAGCTTGGCGTGCTCCAGCTCTCTTGTGTAGAGCTTAATCAGGGTTTATTCCCCCTTCCCCACTCCCAGCTTATTCTCTCCCTAGTTCCCTCTTTCCCTGACCTATCCAGGTTTTCTTTAGCAGCCTGTAATATTATACCAGACGCAAAAGCCCGTATAAGCAGTACAGTACGACTTGACAGGTCTGATCGTGTAGCTAGGTTTGAGAAATATTTGCTAGATGGTTACTGCTGCAACATAGGAAAAGATGCTGTTGTTATGCTAACACCGGCTCACCTCCACGCACCAGATGTCATATGCAAAACTGATCCCTGATTATCATAAGAGTAGTAACGTATAATGTGAAGGGGTTGAATACCCCTGGGAAAAGATGTTTACTGTATAAAGAATTGATAAAAGCTAAGATTGACATTGCATGTATTCAAGAGACCCACTTTAAGAAAGGCTATACACCAAAGATCTTTACTAAACACTTCCCGTTACAATACCATGCACTCTCAGTAAACAAAACAAAGGGTGTATCTATCCTAATACACAAAGATATCGCATTCACCAGCCAGAGGCAATACATAGATCCCCAAGGTAGATTCATAATCCTACAGTGTCTCATTAACGCAATCCACTACACACTGGTCACGGCCTACTTCCCCAATGAGAACTCCAATCAATATCTAAAGTCCCTGCTAACGAAAATAGACCAATATCGCCTAGGCAATTTATTACTATGCGGCGACTTTAACTTCACTCAATCACCCCTGGATAGAACAACCCAGGGAGGCACCAAAACTAGATTGTCGCACGATAAGTCCCACAAAATCATCAACAAAACACTCTCATTACATGACCTCTATGATGTATGGAGAACTCTTAGCCCTGAAACAAGAGATTATACTTTTTATTCAAGGGTACATAATTCGTACTCTCGAATTGATGGGTTTTTTGTTGATAGAGTTACCTTGCCCCTGGTAGCAGATTGCAGGATTGGGGAGATTACGTGGTCAGACCACAGCCCGGTCACCCTGGTACTGAAGGATGAATTCCAATTCACGGGGAAAGGCACTTGGAGGTTGAATGACTCCCTTTTAAACGATGAGAAATTTACCGCTAACATTAAAGAGGAGCTTATAACCTACTTTAACCTAAACAATGTTCAAGGGACCACGGCAGCCACGGTCTGGTCCGCGCATAAGGCAGTACTTAGAGGCCTGTTTCTTAAACAAGCTTCGCACATTAAAAGGACCCAAGACTCGGCAATGTTGGAATGCCACACTAAAATAGCGCAACTTTCTGCTTTAAATAAGACCCAGCCCTCAGTAGAAACAGGGATACAACTCTCCCTGCAGTATGACAAACTAAGAGACTTGACGGCAGACAAAACTAGGAGGCTGCTCCATAAATTAAAAGCTACCGCCTACCACCAGAGCGGAAAAGCCACTAAATTGTTAGCAGCAAGATTACGAGACAAATGCAACACACAAAAGATTGCACATCTTATAAATGATAGGGGTCAGAAAATACTAAATCCCAGCGACATATCGCAAGCCTTTGCAAGATTTTATGCCAAACTATATAACCTGCACCTCACGACAGGTATAAACAACCCAACGGAAGACAGCATTTCCAAATATCTTAGCCAGATACACTTGCCACGAGTCACACTAGAACAAGCCATAACGCTCCAACAACCCATAACCTTGGCAGAAGTTAGCGCAGCTATCAAATCTCTGCCTCTAGCTAAATCCCCGGGAGCTGATGGTTTCACTAATGCCTACTATAAGAAATTTGCAGACACACTAGCGCCCCACCTGTTGCGGGTGTACCAACAAGCCTCCGCAACGGGCTCCCTCCCTCCGGAGATGCTTATGGCCACAATTATCACCATTCCAAAACCTGGCAAACCTGCAAATGAATGTAAAAACTTTCGCCCAATCTCCCTCCTCAATACAGATGCCAAACTCTACGCTAAAATTATAGCAAATAGGCTGAGCGGACTTCTGCCAGAATTGATTTGTGACGATCAAACAGGGTTCGTCAGAGGGAGACAGGGCTCGGACAATACATACAAACTGATGCACACCCTGGAGCAGCTCCGGAGGCCTGGCCGAGGGGGTCTGCTTTTAGCCTTGGACGCGGAGAAGGCATTTGACCGCCTTGGCTGGGCCTTCTTGAGACGAGTTCTAGAGAAATACGGTTTCCCCCATCAGACCATCACACAAATTTTCGCACTATACTCGGCTCCGAAAGCTAGAGTTCTGCAAGCCGGGTTCCTATCGGACCCTTTCGAATTATCTAATGGGACCAGACAGGGATGCCCTCTGTCCCCATTGTTATATGTTTTAGCCCTGGAACCACTTCTGGTCGCAATTAGATCCCACCCCAATATTACTGGAATTCTGGTCGGATCTAGAGAAGTTAAGATAAGTGCCTTCGCAGATGACATCCTCCTCTATATGACCCAACCAATGGAGTCTCTGCCCCATGTCATGTCCCTCATTCACGAATATGGATCACAATCCTACTATTCTCTCAACACCTCTAAAACTCAAGCACTTAGCATAGGCGTTCCTGAAAGTGAAATGATAGCCCTCAGAGGGTCGTACCCCTTTGATTGGAGGAAATATGACATCACATACCTAGGACTATTGTTCTCTAAAAAGCATACAGAGCTCTACACGGGCAACCATGTTAAAACGTGGAGAGAATGTGCCCTACAACTAAAAAAATGGTCACCTCTCTATCTAACATGGACTGAAAGAATAGTGGCAGTAAAGATGTCGATACTTCCTAAACTGCAATATATTTTTAGAACGCTCCCGATTCCCGTCCCACACTCCTTTTTTAAACTGGTACAAAAGGAGGTAGACAACTTTATTTGGGCAGGGTCTAGACCGAGGGTAGCCAGGAATCTTTTACAAGCTCCTAAAAAGTCAGGTGGATTGGGACTACCAGATGTGAAGGCCTACTACCATGCATCCATACTAGCCACCTTACTTCCCCACCACATGGGTAAAAAGCCCCCTCAATGGGTGGAGATAGAGAGAAACCTGCTGAAGCCCTTCACACTGCCTAACATATTGTGGATACCAAAAGTATACCGCCCGACCCTACCACATCCATCCGACCTCCTCACCCTCAAACTACAAATATGGGACAAAAGTAGGGCGACACTCTGCTCCCCAACTAAACTTTCACCAGCTACACCAGTGGCGGCCCTCCCGTATTGTATACCGACCTTTCATGCCAATCCTTGGATAGATAACAAACTAACACACCTCTATCATATTCTCCAACATGGGACATTGAAAGACTTCTCCACACTGAGACACACACACAAACTTCCTGTAACCTCACAATTCTCATACATACAACTGAGATCGTTCCTCTACAGGTCAACTAGTGCTGACAGGGTATTGCAATCTGATATGGGACAACCCACGGTGTGGGAACAAGTCTGTATAAACGGGTCATTACCACCCGCATGTAAACCGACCTCCATGTGTTACCGACTTATCGCTAACTCTATTCCATTCCCTGATACTAATGTAGCACAACAATGGAATACAGATCTGGGAGAGCCTATCTCCCCCACACAATGGAATATCTTATTCCAAGACATAAACCAGCTACTCACATCCACTTCCCTAGTGGAGCAACAACGCAAGGGTGTTTATAGATGGTACATGGTACCTACTCGGATTAATAAATTCTACCCAAATAGCTCTCCCAACTGCTGGAGATGTGGATTAGCAAGAGGAGATGTCCTCCATATTTGGTGGCAGTGCCCAGAGCTTAAACCGTTCTGGACGGAAGTCCATACGCTCCTGCAAGACTTGATTGGCATTAATATGCAATTTACGCCCCAAGTCTATATAACGCTAATTCTTCCGAGCGGAACCCCCAGAGCCGAGAGGAAGCTTATATATCACGTTCTCCTCTCAGCTCACAGAGAGATCGCAAGATCATGGAAATCTAAACAATGTCCGCCCTTCGCCAGAGTACTAGCCGCTCTGATAGAACAAAGAGCATATGAAGGAGCATACACCAAATTGTGGCCCCCATCCCATACCTCCGCAAAGGCATGGGAGATCTGGGACACATGGAGATCGGATCGCCTGGATTAATCCCAAAGGGAGCAATCTGTAGAGCTGTGTTTAGAATATGGGTCGAGTCGACCCCCGGACCTTAGAGAGTACAAGCTTATATTGAATACCCATACCCACCCTGTCTCGGCTAACTGTTTTGTACTGTATGACTATGTAATATACTATGTAATATACTATGTGACAATTATAATACTTGCTGCTTTCCCCCCCCCCCTTCCTTCTTCTCTTCTGTATCCCCCCCCTCCCCCCCTGACTAATGTCGGGATTATGACAAAATATTAATAAAAATTGTCAAATTTAAAAAAAAAAGGCATTATTTAGCATTGCTGTTATGTATCTTTTACACATTGTAATTTTTTTTCTGTTAGGGTTATTTAAATGGAGGTAGCTCCATATAGAAGCAGTTTTCTAGTAGGATAACTCCCACTAATCTCAAGCAAACTGTGACATGTATAACCCAATGCTACCTTGAGATTTGGAAACCTGCAGAGGACGATTGTCCAACAATGCATTGTGGGGTAAAATGCAACAGTGACATCACAAACTGCGCAGTGCCGAATTTATAATCTACCAGTCAAAATAATACATTGAAATTTCAAGATGACTGAATTTCATGCATGTGGTGGATCAGCTCCTCCAAATTATGCCCGCTGAAAAAGATTCGGGAAAATTAATTATATGAACTTAGAGCGTGCAAAAATGTGCTAATCAGTGTACTGCAATGTGTATACATAATATAAATATTTATATACATTTTTCCTCCAGGCGGTTCATTGCAAACAATACAGAGAAAAATAAGAGAAGCCATAATTAATCTATATTTATATTATTTATATTGTTAAATCTAATATATATAATTTTGTTTACTGCTCCTCTTTTTTACCCTCTTAGTGACTGTCGCCTAAATAATAAATCATCAATTTTCCTCATTAATGATCTTTTTCTTGGCTCCACAGATGGAACTCTGAGTTATGAATCAATACAATCATGATTGTATATTGTATGAGTCAATTATAATATTTTGTTAAATAGCTTTCATGGCGGTTCAGAAGTTGGCCTTGCTCTCTCCTGGTGCTCCTCCTATCTCTCCCTGCGCTCTTTCAGTGTTTCTTTCTCTGGCTCTGCCTCCTCTCCCCAACTCCTCTCTGTTGGTCCCCTACTGTTCTCCATCCATACTGCCTCCCTTGGTAAACTCATTAGCTCCTTTGGCTTCCAATATCATTTCTATGCAGATGACACGCAAATATACCTGTCCTCTCCTGATCTCTCCCCGTCCCTCTTGACTAGTGTATCTGACTGCCTCTCTGCTGTTTCTAACTGGATGGCTGCCCACTTCCTTAAACTAAACTTGACCAAAACTGAAATTCTGGTCTTTCCTCCCTCAAGTGTTGTTACTCCTGTGTCTGTCTCCCTCCAAGTCAACGGTGCTACCATCAGCTCCACCATGCAGGCTCTCTGCCTAGGTGTTCTCTTTGACTCCGACCTCTCATTCAAGCCTCATGTTCAAACTATCGTGAAATCCTGTCATTTCCATCTCAAAAACATTGCGCGCATCCGCCCCTACTTAACGCCACATGCGACTAAGGTATTGGTCCATTCCACTGTCCTTTCTCGCCTTGACTACTATAAACCGCTTCTCAGTGGTCTTACGTGCTCCCAACTTGCGCAGTTACAGTCCATAATAAATGCGGCAGCGAGGCTCATCTTCCTTTCCGCCCACACCTCCCATGACTCACCCTTCTGTCAGTCACTACATTGGTTTCCTATAAAATATAGAGCTCAATTTAAAATTCTGGTTCTTGCTTTCAAATCGCTACATAATGCTGCTCCCACCTATCTGTCCTCCCTTATACACAAGTATGTCCCGTCTAGGCCTTTACAATCTGCTGAAGACTTACGTCTATCTTCTGTCCGTACTCCCACCTCTGATGCTCGCCTTCAAGATTTCTTGAGGGCTGCACCGTTCCTGTGGAACTCGCTTCCCTTTTCCGTTAGATGCTCACCCAGTCTCCACTTCTTCAAAAAAATCATAAAAGCGTATCAATTAAACTGTTAATAGTTCCTGACTGATACCTCTTCTGCAACTGTCATTAGTCTAATACTATCCTTACCTTTTTGTGTCATTTTACCCCACTCCCTCTAGCATGTAAGCTCATTGAGCAGGGCCCTCAACCCATCTGTTCCTGTGTGTCCAACTTGTCTGGTTACAACTACATGTCTGTTCGTCCACCCATTGTAAAGCGCTGCGAAATTTGATGGCGCTATATAAATATCATAATAATAATAATAATAATAATAATAATCATCAGATGATTCCAAAATCAGACGAATTGCAGTTCCTAATGAATCTACAAGTCTATTAAAAAGTTTATTTTGTTTCTCGGACAGCATTTATTAAATTTTCTTTGTATATATTTTTCTGGTGACAAACTTATAATTCAGTAATATTTTTGGAAATTTAGACATTAAAGTTTTAGACATTTCCTACAATTGACAGCATCTGCACATAACACCAAATATATTTTTTGATTCCTTAGGTCATGGATAGGCAACCTTCGGCATTCCAGATGTTGTGGACTACATCCCCAATAATGCTCTTACACCCATAATGCTGACAAAGCTCCATGGGAGGTGTAGTCCAAAACATCTGGAGTGCCGAAGGTTGCCTATGCCTACCTTTGGTCAATTTAACACATTAGTAATTACATCTATCAGACTTCATATAGTGAAGAATGTAGCTGTAAAACAATACCAAAGAACAGCATATGTGCATAAAGTATTTTTTTAAGTAATTTACCAACAGATTATCCTACCTCATAAATAAGGTACGGCACTCAAAAGACTTCTTAAGAAATATGTAATGTTTGCTACTCTCACATTTCAGACTGCCTCGATTCCAGCTGTTACATTGCATATCAAGATTTTAGCTCTCTATGTGAGATGAAAAGCAGTTTTACCAGTGAAAAAAATGTGTTGAATTAAAAAATGATTATTTAGCTATAAAATTCACAGATTTTTAGACAGCTGAGTAAGTTTAGCATCCCGTGTCTAATTTTTGCTAAAATAAAATTCACGGATTTTACGTGAATTTCGGACACCATGCTCGTTGCTCGATTAGGTCATGCGAGACAACTCCGGGACAGTATGGTAAGTTTCAGCCGTGAGCAGATAAAAAAAAAACAAAAAAAACGCAAAGAGTGTTGAAACTTTTGCAGCCAATAATATTGTTTTTTTTCTCTATTCACTTTTCACTTTTGTCTCACAATAAAAAATATTTTATGCCTGTAAAGTATTAGAGTGTGTGCAATGAATGGGGAACTAGATAGATTTTATATTAATACATCATTTTTAATTTCAGGTTGTAACACTACAAAGGGTGGGGATATTCAAGGGTGGTTAATAATGACGCAAGAGGCTTTATTTGAAGTATTTAGACTTTTAGAAAGTATGACATTTTCACTATAAATAGACATTTCTGACACTATAATAGGTGCTGTGCAGGGAAAATATAATAAAGAATTAGAAGCATCTAACCATTGAAATCGATATTACACTGATCAGCTGCAACATTAAAACCATCTCTCTAATATTGTGTAGGCCCTTGTGCTGCCTAAACAGCTCTGACACATCAAGACATGGACTCCACAAAACCTCTGAATTTGTCCTGTGGCACCTGACACCAAGACATTAGTGCATTAGGCATTAGTGCATCCTGCAGCCAACTCTTCCCAAATGTAAACAATGTATATGAATCCGGCAATCCACCTGATCTAAAAGAAAACAGGATTCATCAGATTAGGCAACCTTCTTCCATTGCTCATTGGTCCAGTTCTGATGCTTATGTCCACATTGAAAAGGCTTTCAAGGCAGGCAGGAGTCACCAAGGGCACTCTGACCGCTCTGCGGCTATGCAACCCCATACAGCGCAAACTGCGATGCACTGTGTTCTGACAACATTCTACAAACATTTTTCAGCTCTTTGAACTACAGTAGTTCTTCTGTGTGATCGGACCAAATGGGCTAGCTTTCGCTCTCCACGTGCATCAATGAGCCTTGGGCGCCCATGACTCTGATGCCGGTTCACCAGTTGTCCTTAATTTCACCACTTTTGGTAGGTACTAACCACTGGATACCAGGGACACCCCACAAAACTTGCTGTTTTGGAGATGCTCTGACCTAGTCGTCTATCCACCACTATTTGGCCCTTGTCAAAGTCACTCAGATCTTTTCACTTGCCCATTTTTCCTTCTTCCAACACGTGGAATTCAAGATCTGACTGTTCACTTGATGCCTAATATGTCCCACTCATTGACAGGTGCCATTGTAACAATAAAATCAATGTTACTCACTTCACCTGCGAGTGGTTTTAAAGTTGTGGCTGATCAGTGTATAACCTTGACATTCAAGTGGCCATATGTGGTACTACAAAACTCAAATGAAATTAGCTCACGGGAGTTTGCATTTCTAAAAGGTCACAACTTTTTTTCTCCTAGGAAGCAGATATAGATTTAGCAAGAATCATGTTCGCCTAGTTATATAAAAGCCTAAAACTGTGAAATTATTATTGAATTTAAAAAACTTTTAGCTACAGGGCAACCAGGATAATTAGCAAAGGGCAATTTAAAAGAGGCACCCACTCATTAGCTTGGCAACAGTGGAATAAAGTAAAAGGATCATTGGAAATATTACATTTATAAAAATGTATATAAATATTTTATAAATGGGCTTTATCGAGTCTATGATGCAGCTATTCAGCTCATATAAGGGGGAATCAATGTTTAATAATGTATTTAGCAAATAGATGAAATAGAGAAAACAGAGTGCAGTCCAGGAGCCCGGACGCAGGTCAGGGACTCGTGGGCTGCATCACTGTAACCACCTAATAGGGAGCTCCCAGAATAAGGAGATAATCCTTCAATAGTACAAAAACAAAAATAGAGCAGTATATAGTGTCCCACTAGGGGAAACTAATAGTGGGATCTCCACTAATATATAAAAAGAGGGGAAAAGAAGGAAACCCTATCTTTAATAAATCACACTTACACAATGTATAACAAAAAAGGGGAAGATTAACTAAACCATATCTCCCTACAGAAGTATAGGGAAAAACATCTAAAAAAATAACCATAGTGGTAACAAATATTTTTTTCTTTAATCACAGCACTTGGTAGAACTTTTTTATTTGTTAACTGTGACAGACCGCCTGGCACTCCGACTGGGTGCCTCTGCCAATCACTGCTTCCTAGTACCTTCCTAGACTTACCCTGGAGCTTGTTCCCCTCATCCATATGAATGATTCCACCGAACAGTGCCCTTCTAAGTTGTGTAGAAACGAACGCAGGTGATGATGGAATTCCAGCGGTGTTCGGATGTTTCTGTGTCTGATTTTAGTTCCAGGAACTGGACGACCAAACATGCGAACGAGATGACCTCCACCTTGTGGTTGTTCAAGTGAACAACGGCCACCCAGACAAATAGTTAGAACACTGCGCTTAGAATCGTTACCAAGTGTTAATAAGGTTTAACAAGCTCCTGGGTGGTCTCTGGTTCATGCGGCTGTTCGGTTCCCGAACCACATAATCCCAATTGCAGGAACAGAGCCCTTTTAAAGTATTTTAGCTAGGGTCTATTGCTGGGGCCATAGTCCTGAGGCAGGAAGCAGGCAAGCAGGCCCCTCCAAGAACACGTGGCACAGGCATTTCTGCTACATTACCATTCTGGTTATTCTTTAGGCGTTTTCTCCTTTCATTTAATTATTAACTTCTGTAGGGAGAGATGGTTTAGGTAGACACTAGTGGCCAGACCACGGTGTCGAGGTAACATCAAGGGCAAGCAGTTTTTTATTTGTATCCAGAATAGTTTTTCTGGCTTCCCTTCTATGTACCTCTGAATTATTACCTTTCCCTTGTCTCGCCTAATCTACCTTCCCATCAGTCGGATACTGGGGGACTGGGGTATTTGCGATTCAGAGCACCCCAGGTTTAGGACCCTTATGGTACCGTTTAGTTAATCTCCCCCTTTTTTGTTATACATTGTGTTTACTCTTTACATATACCCTTAGATTTATTAAAGGTAGGGTTTCCTTCTTTTCCCCTCTTTTTATATATTAGTGGAGCTCCCACTATCAGTTTCCCCTAGTGGGGCACTATATACTGCTCTTTTTTTGTTTTTGTAATAATGTATTTAGTACAATATTTGCAGACTGCGCGCACTGCTTAGAGCTTAGATATAAAACTATTAAAACACAATAAAATAAAATGGCATTAGGGTAATCAGTGTTTTATTTTTTTGACATAGATTATCATCTGGATATCAGTTTCATCTTTGCTAACCTGCAATTTCCTGCGTTGCTTATCTGAGTTTATCATATTTATTTAGCCCATATGGTTTAAACTGAAAAAGTTAAGTAAAGTAAACATAATGGATATTTTTAATGAATCTCTGTTATCTATCGATGAATGTTTATGAAGAAAACAAGCATTTATTGGTTCATGTCACATGAATCACAAGATGAGTATTTTTTCATTTCTTTGTTTTATATATTTTTTTATCAAGCTTTATTATTTTGATTCGTCATTTTCTTTTTTTTTCTTTTGTGTGTGTAACTCACGTTAATTCTAGATGTTGGGAGGGGGGCGGAGCCAGCAGCCGAACCGACAGGTCGCATCTGAAGGGAGCTCCTGGCGATAACGGCCTAAAACGACCAATTAACCTTGGAAATATCACCCCCCAAAGCACCCCAGCTACCCACACAAGTAGCAGTAATGGGCAGGAAGACAAAAAAACCCAAGCCCGATTTGCCCCGGCCGGGCGCTAGCATAGGAGACCTATGGCGGCGGGCACATGGCGCACCAGAGCCTGACATGGCCGCTTACATAGAAGGCCTAGAAGACTCAGACGACCTGCTCTCTGACCCAGACGAGCCCTGCTCACCAGCAAGGTGGCCGCCGGAGAAGCCTAACCCAAAGCAGGCCGCGCAGCCTGACTCAGCTCCGGTCACGAAAGCCGAAATGAGGGAGCTACTGGCGGAACTCCGCCAAAATATTCAGGAGGACGTAGCCGACATGCGGAGAGACATAAAGGGCCTTACGGACCGCGTGGACACTGTGGAGCAGAACTCCCACACGCATACCAGGCAAGTGACCTCCCTCCAGCAGGAGATGAAAATGCTGCAGCAACAGCACTTGAAGGTAGAAGGGGCTATGGCGGCAATGGAAGACTCGCGACGTGCCCAGAACCTTAAGGTCAGAGGCATCGCAGAATCAGTTCCAGACTCTGAACTCCCCCACCTCATGCGGCGCCTGGTGAGTAAAATACTGCCACCAAAGCAAGCCAAGGGAGTAGGCCTCGACGGCATATTTAGAATCCCTAAACCACCAATGGCCCCATCAGCAGCAACTAGGGATCTAATAGTCAAATTCCAGAAGCGACAGGACAAAGAAGCAGTAATGGCCGCCATTAGGAACACTACTCCGCTCACATTTGAGGACATGACTCTCTCCTTTTACCCGGACTTATCCAGGGGAACCATGGCCTGGCGCTCAACCCTTAGGCCTTTCACCACCCTGCTCCGCGAGCGAGATATCAAATACAGATGGCGCTCACCCCACAAGCTTCAAGTGCATCAGGGAGACACCACGTACCTCATCGCGGACTTACAAGAGGCGGAGGCCCACCTTCCCACTCTGGGGCTCCCAGCAGACGCCATACGACGACGCCCCACAAACCCTAAACCACACAAATGGAATCCGGCTACCTCCAAACCTTTTGTTCCTGGGGGGTCCACCCACGCCGCACAGACTGTAGCCACCACCTAAGTGCTTCCGAAGGGGATGGCCGAGCCTCACCGGCTATTCACTTGTTGTTTTGGTCTTCTTATTCGTTAATTTACCTCTCTACGATTGCATTACATTTTGTATATAGTTTATGGTCTAACAGTACATTTTAGGGGGACAGGCCTACTTAAGAGGCTCACATTCACCATGGGCGGCACTGAGGCAGCACAATGCCATCAACCACACCTGGCCCAAGACGGGCTGACACAGGGGCTATCTGCGTCCCCGCAGGCCCTGCAACAGGGACACCACGAGACCACACACTACAATAAGTTTTACAATAAGGCTCTGGCACATAGCAGCAGAGCCGGTTAGCACAGGGGAACAAACGCTGCAGCATATTAACCACAAGCAAATCACCCACTCACCATAAAGTCTTATAACAGCTACTATTCCATTGCAAAGGTGCTCCTGTACATGACAGCAATACCTCTTACAATTGTACGGATCCCACTAACTGCTCTCAACGATAAAACAACATACACGTAGTTTACCTTTTAAATGCATTTCCTCATTTATTAACTGCTAACCATGTTTACAAAGCTCGACTACGATAACGTAGTAGATCTAGCATTCATGACTACTCGTCTGTATATATCATGGCACGTTAGCAACACTTACTGCATCGACATGTATATTCTAGCATAACCAAAAAAAAAATGTGTATACGAATTCTAGATGTTGGACCTAGAGCTTATGTCAACAACTGGACTTCAACAACTTATGTCAATAACTGGACTTCAACAACTTATGTCAACAACTGGACTTCAAAACTGAAACATTCCACTTGGTAGAACTTTTTATAATGAGGACACTCGACATACATTGACACGATCCAAGTGTTTCCATCTATATTTTCAAAACAAATGGCCTGGCAATACAGTCATGGGAAAAAGAAAGAACACCCTCCTAAATTCTATGGTTTTACAAATCAGGACATAATAACAATCATCTGTTCCTTAGCAGGTCTTAAAATTAGGTAAGTAAACAAACAGAAGGATGGGACTGCGCCAATAAACAAAATAAAAAAGTCCTGGTTAAGGTATTGAAATAGAGTCCAGTGTAATAAAACTTTGGTCTTATGTTGGTCTCTGAAGTTGTAGAATTTTCCTCCTTACTGATATATGGAGGAGGACGATGGATGATGAGATGGTAAAGAGTGATCCGAAAGGTATCCAAATAAAAAAGAAGAGATAAGAGATTTTTGTAGAGCTTAATCCAGCTCTGGTATGAATAGCTTGCAGCAGTATTATCCCCGCTTGTAGGATATACGGTGAGCTTCCTCTTCAATGTAGTGACAGGCAACCAGGGGGAAGAAAAACAGTGATGGTGCAGTTTGTTCCAAAAGTGGCACTACAATTAGAAAAAGACTGAACGAGTATGATTTGTTTGGAAGAGTTGCCGGGAGAAAACATCTTCTCTCTTAAAAGAACATGGCAGCACGGCTTAGGTTTAAAAAGGTCACATTTGAACAAACCACAAGACTTCTAGAACAATGTCCTTTGGACAGATGAGGCAAAAAGTGGAGATGTTTGGCTATAAAGCACAGCGCCAGGCTTAGTGAAAACCAAACACAGCATATCAGCACAAGTACCTCATACCAACAGTGCAACATGGTGGTGGAGGGGTGATGATATGGGCTTGTTTTGCAACCACATGACCTGGGAACCTTGCAGTCCTTGAGTCAACCTTGAACTTCTCTGTATACCAAACTCTTCTAGAGTCAAGTGTGATGCCAGCTGTTCGACAGCTAAAGCTTGGCCGAAATTGGGTCATGCAATAGGACAATAACAGCACACCAGCATATCTACAATAGAATGTCTGAAAAAGAAAATAATCAAGGTGCAATGGCCCAGTCAAAGCCCAGACCCCAACACAATAGAAAGGGTGTGGTGGGACCTTAACAGAGCTGTGCATAAACAAATACCAGCAAACCTCAATGAACTGAACCAACATTGTAAAGAAGAGTGGGCCATTATTTCATAATATCTCATGTCACAATACCAGTGATCCTATGATACTTTGTATATCCATTATATGGGCTGTTGTTGTTTAATTAAATATCCCTCTTGTGTTTGTTATTGACCATACACTTAAAGGCAATCTCTCCATTGATTTCTTAACACACATCTGACTTTTTAAATCACTCATATGTTAAAAGTCTGCATTTTGGAGTCAGATCTCCATGGAGAATACTTTTGTGTTATCCTTCTCTGTTAGACTTTGGTTTGAAGCATATTTTCTCCCTCATAAATTTGTGTAATGTACCAAATAAATATTAAATAAAATGTAACCCTCGTACCCGAGGTGTGAAAGGTAGAAACTTGTTTTTTGGTCACACGCAGTCCTTGTAGACAGTTCAAGGAAATAGTCTTGTCTACTGCAATGGGTGCATATAGCTGGAATTAATCGTCAGAACACTGGTCTGCGTCATCCTAACTCAATTTCATTTGCTGCTATTGCAGTCCTTGGTAATGTCACAGCTCCTGCAAAGATTTCACTGCATTCGTTCTCCCATGTGTCTGTGGAATATGCACCAGCAATATGAGCTTTAGAAATAGCATTGCAAGCATTCTGCACAATGCTAACAGCCGTGTACTTCCTGGATCTCTCATCAATTACATTGCATTGTCTATAACATTATATCACTCCATCAGCCCAGTGTATAGCCTATTACAGTGTTTCCAAATCTAAAGTTGTTGACTAACCAGCTTTTGACTCTTGGATATTGTGTATCTAACTCTAATACTTTACCTGTTTGTGTGTTCCTTGCTGTGATCCTGCTTGCAACCATGCTATTGACAACTGGACTTATATTTACTGTCTTTGTGGTCTGTTTCTACCTTCAGCTTCTGCAGAAGAATGTGTTGGTTTTTTTTTGTGTAGAATGACTTTACACTGTTCCTTAGCTCCAGCTATACCTTCATTATCAGACGTGAAGGGATTGAAGGCCAGTCTTGGGTCAAATTGGGACATGCCTAGGACCTCATAGTTACAATCTTTTCATTAGAAGGTATCAATTGCACTTTGCAAGGCTTTTCAGTCCACCGTGGGTACCACAATCGGTGGACTGGAAAGCTGGTGGTAATATAGAATATTTTATGACTAGAGTTGCTGTTGAACTTATCCAAGAAATGGAGTACTATGTCTCTATATCATTTTTTCAGGGAACACAAAAGGGGCATTAGTCCAGTATAATGCCTATTTGGTTCCAGGGACAATAAAATGCCCAGATATTTCAAGGGATTCATGGATTCAGCATTCTGTGGATGGCAGGTTCCCAACCCTCTTTTATTATTGGTGAATGCTAAGCTCTATTTTGCTATGTTGTGAGTTTGACCCTACCATAGAGCTGTATTGCAGTATTTATTGCTGGTGAACTTGCCACATGGGATAACATTTCACAAACTCTATAGTTTGCGGAATGCTGTGTTTTTTTCCGGGGTAATTCCCTGAGCATCAATAATCACACATAGGAAATAAGATGTGCGTGTCTCTTGGTATATCCCCAGTCATATCAAATGGTTTGTTCTTGCACCTGGACTTGACCATTTTTATTTTTTCAGGGATTTAATACATTTTGCATCTCATCATTCTTAACACAAGCACTTTCACACTGATCACTACCTACATTTCCTTCCTCCCAAACCCTGGCGTCTCGAATATCAATCCATATATTCTACATTGTGTAGGTCTGTGCATGATCATTATTACACCCAAGGCATATTTCTGGATCTATTCCCACATTTTCAGGATTGCACATTCATGACATTTGGATGATACTCTAGAATCTTTTACCAGGGAAATGAGGACCGATAGTGGCTGTTCACATTGTATTACTTCAACAGAGAAAAACATTGCCTAAAGACTATTGTATGAACAGATAAAATATATGTATTGATAGAAACACGAACAGACAAACAAACAAGACAGATAACATATAATAAACTACAGTGTTACATATCTCTAATTTATAAAATAATTAAACAAAGTAGTTGAGATCATAATCAATGTTTTGTATCAACTGCTACTGTTCTGTCAAGAGAACTTACCTACCTACCTACCATTGTTTATAGGGAATGTAATGAGTGATAATGTTGTTTATGCTAACTTGTTTATATTAAATGGCATTTAGGGAATAGTATAGGATTCTGCATTACACCATAACTGGAAGGGGTCTGGGTCAGATGGGTAATGAACAGTAAAAGAAATGGTAGGAATAGGCACAAGGTCTGGAATAGTTTCAATAAGGGGGCAGGGCGGATGTCTAATCATCAAACCCATTAAAAGGTAGACGTTTAACCTTGTGGTTAAATCTAAAGTGAATTTCTGGGTAAGCAGGAAGATGGGTAATCTGAAGAGCAAGAAGTCAGATAGAAACGTGAGCAGAGAAAGCCGAAACTGTGAACAGGAACAGAGAGATGTTCCAGTAAAGGATCTTCCAGCTAGCAGATCTTCAGGTAAGGGGTCATAATATCTACACTGTCTGAAGGGGTCCTGAGCTTGGGAACTGGTCTCAAATGGGTGTTAGTAATATTAAATGTGGGTGCTATTCTCACTGGCTTCTCCTGCTTCTGAGTGTTAATTGAGCAGCAGAACTGACACTTAGGTCACCTTGTAAACCTGCCACATTAATATGGATAAAGCATTACTTGACACATGGTCACAAATCCAAAGTAGGGGCTACGGCCATGAGAAGACAGGTGTTTTCATAAAGTCAAATCGACCTGGTGTATGTATAGAGCAGGTTGGTGACTATATTGGTGTGGAATATATATATATATATATATTTATTTATTCCACAAGAAAACTTTCATCAGAAGTGAATGCCAAATTTAAAGAGGAAATCGACGAAAGTTAGCCTTAAGTTTGATATTCCCATTGAACTCACATGGAATTCTCATTTTAGTAAATAGTCCTGTAAGTGAAATTAAGATGTTAACCAAAAAAAAACTGAAACTTTTTTTTTTTTTTTTTTTAAATAAGTCCTTGAGTGCTTTTTACATGTAGTAAATGTCTGTTGCTGAATTGCACACCGGACAGTTCATGCCCATTTCTTGCAGATTGGAAGCAGTTGCTGCTATCTTTTATTTCACTCTTCATTATCACATTTAGATAGTAAGCTCACTTGGCTTTTGCTCTGCAATTAATATAAAAATTATTACAATTTTCCACATATTATCACACAGATTGCTAATATAATACATACTTAGCCTCCATGACATTTTCCCAGCAGAGACTCATACCAAATGTGATTAAAGCCCAATACAATCTCCTATAGAACTGTAGGAGAATCATTCTCACTGCCACACACCCTGTCTTATGCTATACTTACTTTGCTTTGTTTGCAAGAGAACCCACCAGCAAGTGTGAGAATAGCCCGGGGTACCCAGCCAATGTATCCTAGCAACCACATCTCACAACTAAATTTACGCACGGTGATAAGATTTGGCCCAGCTACAAAAAAAATAGTTTCGGTCGTTATCTGATTTGTACACCTGGTGCATTGGTTTAGATAAATTTTGCCCATGCGATCATTTTAGGGAAAAGTATTTGGACGAACCAAAAGAGCATGAAAATGGGCCAATCATTGAAATGCAAAATAGATACATAATATATCTTGCAGTACACTTGTAGGAACATTTAACCAAACATTTGGTTTACAGTGAGAAGTTACCAATACAGTGAGAAGTTACCAATTGAGGATAAATAAGAATAGTAAAATATATATATATATTTCTATCTTATATATTTATTTATTAAATATGTAATATATAATTATGTAACTAAAGATTTTATTTTTTTTTTAATTAAATTTTTTATTTTCATTACACATGTGGTTACAGTATTAACGACATACGCCACAACAGCGTACGTGTACATATTTAAACAGTAGCATCAACTGTAGCGCATTCTTGTTTGTGGTTACATGCACAATTTTTAACCAGTGGACCTTACAATTGCAACTGTTACATGTCTACAGTTCAGGTGTATCAAGGTTGAAGCAATTAGCTCTATATGCTGGCTTAAGTTTCACTTTTAAGGCGTGAAGGTGATTATGCCATGTTCTACATTCTGGCTGCATCATATTTAAAAAGCTAGATTTTCCACAGTAATATCGATAGTATAATGGTGAGATACACTTAGAAGGAGTTGTTCAACCCGAACGGTCTGTACTAGCGCAGATATCGTATTTACGTCTTATTGTGCCCTATGACTGTCCTGTTAGACAGCATGTCAACCGCAAGTAATCCTAATTCTATAACCGGGGACTGGTAGGTCCCAACTTCTTAGCCAGGTCTGTGGCTTGTTTATTGCTGCGTCTGGGGAGAGGGGGGGAGAGGGAGGGTGAGGGTTGGGGGGTGAAGGAGGGGGGGTGTATGCATTGCCATTGGGCAGTCTTGGAGACGGCCCTGAGCAACTCGAGTTCTCATGATGTTGTGGTATTGTCTATGTATTTGGACCAGGGTTCCCATGCGGAGGCATAGTGGGCGTATTTGTCATTCATAGAGGCTGTCAGTTCCTCCATTATTCGAATAGACTCGACTTTCTGGAGCCATTCCCTCACCGATGGTGCCTTAGAGGCCTTCCAATGTATTGGAATGAGGAGGTTGGCCGCCGTGAGCAGGTGGGTCGTTAGGACCCTCTGTGGTTTGGCGATGGGGTCTGAAAACAATAGGAAGAGCATTGTCTCCGGCTTGAGAGGTAAGTTTCCCCCTGTTACAGTGTTAATTATCTCCCTCACTCTTTTCCAGTAGAGTTGTATGGTTGGGCAGTGCCACCAAATGTGAGCTGTTGTTCCTCCCAATTGCCCGCATCTCCAGCATGTATCTGGTATGTGCGGGAAGATACGTTGTAATTTAGTGGGCGAGTAATGCCACCTGGAGATTTTCTTGTATGTGCTTTCCTGGATAGCAGTGCTGACGGAAGATCTCTGTATGCCCTGGAAGATGATACCCCAGCCCCCCTGGGTAATGTTAGTGGAGAGTTCCCTATTCCATGTTTGTGTGTAATGTGGCATTTGTCCCTTGAGCTCCCCTTGAATCATCTTATAAAAAATCGATAAGTGCTTGCTTTTGAGGGATTGGGAGGTACAATATAATTCATACGTTGTGAACGTCCGGGAGCCAGCTAGAAGTGTTCGTGTGGATCGTATGTAGTGTGTCAGTTGCGCATATTTGAAGATCTGCAGTGTCGTGGGTCGTTCTGGTCCCATTAGGGATTCGAGTGGTTTGACTGAGCCGCCCTCTAGGACCGTATGGAGTCTCAGATAGGGCGTTTCTTGGGGTATTTTTAAGAAGTCAAAGGAGTGGTTCGGCAGCCCGGGTTGGAACTGTATGTTTCCTGTTAGAGGGTAGAGGGGGGATGGATGAGGGGATATTGAGGTCCCCAGTCTCATGAGCTTCCAGGTTCGGATTGTGGGTGTAATGGTGGGGTGACGGGAGTGGTGTGGGGATAGGGATGTAGATCCTGTGTTTAGCCATGGGATCCCTTGGAGCGGGGTTGTGAAAAAGGTTTTCTCCAGTTGCACCCATTGTAGTTGTGGGCGTGGGTTGGCCCATTCATATATCCTTGTGAGGATGGTCGCTTTGTGATATAACTCTATGTGTGGCATCCCCAGTCCACCTTGGCTTTTAGGTTTAGTGAGTGTGGCGAAAGCTATTCTGGGGTGTTTGTCTGCCCAAATAAATTTGGTGAAGAGGTTCTTGATCTTTTGGAAGAATGATTTGGGGATGTGGACTGGTAGTGTTTGTAAGAGGTATAACAGTCTTGGGAGCGTGTTCATTTTTAGGATATTGATGCGGCACAGCCATCCAAAATGGGGCTTGCGCCATTTAGTCAGGTCTATTTCTATTTGTTGGAGGAGTGGGAGAAAGTTGATGTTGTACGTGGTGGCGAGGTTATGCGTTAGGTGTACCCCCAGGTATTTGATATGTGCTGCAGCCCACGAGAAGGGGTATTTCTCCTTTAGTGTGGATTGCAGTGGCTGGGTTATTTTCAAGGGTAGGATCTCACTCTTGGTAAAGTTAACTTGGAAGTTGGATATCTTATTATATGTGGTTATCTCTTCTAGGAGAGGCTGCATGGATGTGCTGGGGTTAGTTATTGTAAAGAGTAGATCGTCAGCGAACGCTGAGATCTTGTATTCCTGGTGTTCCACCCGGAAGCCTGTGATATCTTTGTTATCCCTGATCCCCTGGAGGAATGGCTCCAACGTAAGGATGAAGAGGAGAGGGGATAGGGGGCACCCCTGTCTCGTGCCGTTCCTTATATGCACTGGCTTCGACAGTTGTCCGTTAATTTTAAGTTTGGCCGTGGGGGTGGAATATATAGCCCCAAGCCACTTGTCCCAATTTGGCCCAAAGCCCATAGCTTGCAATGTGGCTCTAAGAAGAGACCAGTCTACTCGGTCGAATGCCTTTTCGGCATCGACCGAGAGTAGGAGGCTGGGTAGAGTGTGAGACTGAGACAAATGGATGAGGTTGAGAAGTTTTGTCGTGTTGTGCTTTGCTTCCCTTCCTGGGACAAAGCCCGCTTGGTCTGTGTGTATGAGGTTGGATAGTAGGGGGCGTAATCGATTTGCTAGAATTTTAGTGAAAATTTTTAGGTCTACATTGATCAGTGATATTGGGCGATAACTTCCACAGTTTGTGGGGTCCTTTCCTGGCTTTGGCAATAACGTAATATGGGCCTCTAGAGCAGGAGTCTGTAGGGCTGGGGTGTCGGTGAGGAAATTAAAGGCGTCTAGAAAGGGATCTGCCAGTATGTCTCTGAATGTTTTGAAGTATTTGGCCGTGTAACCGTCAGGGCCCGGGCTTTTCCGCAGGGGCAACGAGCTCACTACTTTAAGGAATTCGTCTCTCGTCAAGGGGCTGTCTAGGGATTGCAGTGCTTCACTAGGGATTTTTTTATGCACCCTGGGAGTCAGGAAGCGTTCAATGTCTGTTGCCAGCGGGGGGGAGCTCCTGAGGTTATATAGTTCTGAGTAGAACTTGTGGAAGGCTTCCATAATATCTGGTAGGGTTCGTGATATGCCCTTTTCCGGGTGTTTAACCTTTGCTATGAAAGTTGTTTGTCTGCTTTGTTTTAATGCAGAGGCCAGGAGGCGACCGCATTTGCCTCCGGAATAGAAGTAGGAATGTTTGGTGCGTAATAGTGTGCGTTGGACCTGTGTGTTTAATATTTGTTGTAGCTCTGTGCGCTTTGCGAGCAATGCCTTATATGTCTGGAAGACGTCCTTACTGTGGTGGGCCGCCTCCAGGGCCCGTATGTCTTTTGTGAGGGATGCAATTTTATTGTCTCTCCTTTTTTTCTGTGTGGAGGCTATGGCTATGAGCTGTCCCCGAAGCACACACTTATGTGCTTCCCATGTTATTGGGGGGGAGGTTTGTTGGGAGGAGTTCTCTGTGAAGTACTGTTGGATGGAAGTGCGTATTTTTTCAGTCACTGTTTTGTCATTTAGTAGCAAGTCATTTAATTTCCATTGGTAAGTTTTTAGGGGAAGGGAGGGTATATGAACGGCAAGAGACAGGGGCGCATGGTCTGACCATGTGATAGGGCCGTAGGAGCATGCTGTCACTAAATGCAATAACCGCTGAGGTAGGAAGAACATATCCAACCTGGAGTAGGTACGATTTGCATGTGAATAGTATGAGTAGTCTTTTCTATTGGGGTGACTTACTCTCCAGCATTCGTATAGTTGGGAGCTGTCTAAGAGGCGGGAGAAGCACTTGCGTTTTGAGTCTTCTCTGTTAGGAGTTGCCGATGTGGTGTCTAGAGCCGAGTCTAAAGACAGGTTACAGTCACCCCCCATAATGAGTATACCCTCTGCGAAGGTCTCTATCCATCTCAGGCATTTTTTGAGGGTCTTGCATTGGCCCGTGTTGGGTAGGTACATGTTTACAAAGGTAATTTTGTTTTGTCCCATGGTCCCCTTTACAAGCAGTAACCTCCCTGAATCGTCTGTTTTCTGGTCTATGAGTGTGAAAGGTACCTGTGCGGAGAGTAATATGGCCACTCCCCGAGTCTTTTTCTCAGCGAAATGGCCATAATAGCTTGTGGGATATCTACTGTTCCTCAGACTGGGAGCTTTGTCTTTTTTAAAATGGGTTTCCTGGAGAAACGCCACGTCAGCTCTCAGTCTATGCAACTCGTTGAGGGTCAGGGAACGTTTTTCTGGGGAGTTTAACCCTTTCACATTGAGAGTGATTATGCGTAGGGTAGTCATTATTGGTCGGTTATTTTAGGGGTGAATGGGGTAGGTGTCTTGTCTCCACCCAGCGCTTGGCCACAGACCTGTCTATACAGAAATATTTGGATATTTACAAGTAGTAATATAACAAACAAAACAAGTAAAGAAACTTTTCAGTAAACACTCAAGAACAAGAAAAACAAAAATTAAATAAAGTATATGAATATCACACACTTGGACTTATAGCCTGCACCTGGGTCTGGTGCTTAAATACCTATGGTAACTGTCTCGGGTGAGATGATCCGTCTCTCCGAGAGCCTATCTGTCACCTTGGTGTAGGCCTGAGGGGCCTAAGTTCAGATAATATCTGGTATAGGCATACGTGTTTGTATGCCCATACTCCTAGGAGTATTATCTTGGGGGGAGGGGGGAGAGGGTATATAATAGACCGCAAGTCTAGTTGTGGGTGAAGAGAGTGGTATGGCTACTCGCTATCCTGTTCGGTGTGAACCTCGCTTGATGTGGTACATTTAGCTTTGTGGGCGGGTGCGTATTAGGCTTGGGACCCCTGGGACAAGGCTTGGTGTATTGGGCTTTTCGGGCACCTTGGAGTTCAGGTGGGATACTCTTATGGCGTCTCTTTCCCCTCCGCCCGGTCATGTGGCTAAGGGCCTGTGTTTTTATTTGGTAGCCCTTAAGTGGGCATTTCGTATTTTGGGGGGGGGGGAGGGTTCTATTGAAGGGGGGGGGACATTGTGAGGGCCCTTGGGAGATAAGTTCCCGAGACTTTCGGGTATATCTATCTCGACTCTGTGGCTTGGGTCGATTATGGCCGCTAGGTAGGTGTAATAGGTGGCATATGGTACAGTGCACCGATATCTTTTACCTTGCGGTGGTTATCGCTAGTCTGCGCTGCTGGTTGTTTTTTAGGCTAGTGGGCACCATGTCGTATTCTTCCCTGCAATATCTATATACATTTGTGTTAAGTTGTGTTAACCCAGGGTAGAAAGGGGGTGTCTAAACAGATTCAAACAATAACCATATTACCCGCCCTCATGAGAGTCTTTGGCGTGGGCAGAGGAATCTCCCAACTCGTCCACCTGTGCCTCGGAGGGATAAAGTCCCGGTGTCGTGGGAGTTAGTGTGTCCCCGCTTCGACTGGTTTTATCTCTGTTCGGGTCCCCGGTGAAAGATTTTATTTTTTACCGTGTCTTCTTTTCCTCTCTATTGCTCACTTCTCACTTGATCTGTGAATTAAATAAATATTTTTTATATGTCCCCTAACCAATTTTTCCACCATCAATCATCTCTTGTTTTGGTGTCACAGACAGAATTCTGTTCAGTCATTGTCCGCTTCCTTCGTATCGTGATTTGTCCATATAATTAATCGGAATTACAACATTTGGAGGACACGTCGATTGCCCAAAACTTGGACGAATAGCAATCCGTTTGAAACCGAACGCATAACTCTATTATTATTTATTATTATTATTGCCATTTATATAGCGCCAACAGATTCCGTAGCGCTTTACAATATTATAAGAGGGGGTATTTAACTATAAATAGGACAACTACAAGAAAACTTACAGGAACGATAGGTTGAAGTGGACCCTGCTCAAATGAGCTTACAGTCTGTAGGAGGTGGGGTATAAAACACATTAGGACAGGAAATAGCAATCAAATAAGGTGGGAGTGAAGCAGAGCTGGAGGATAGAATAGAGTGCTGCCCTTTAGGAGAGAGCAAAAGACAGGTATGTGAGGTAGAGGTTACTCTTGGAGGCTTTCCTAAAGAGATGGGTTTTAATGTACTTCTTAAACGATTTAAGACTAGGGGAGAGTCTGATGGCGGTAGGCAGGCTATTACATAGGAAGGGAGCCACCCGCAAGAAGTCCTGCAAACGTGAGTTGGCCGTATGGTCATGGGCAAAACGGAGAGACCGAGAAGGGGCATACCTATGGATCAGTGAAGGGATATAAGAGGGGCTAGAATTGTTCAGTGCTTTATAGGTATGGGTTAGAACTTTGAATTGACTTCTATAGGATACAGGAAGCCAATGTAAGGACTGACAGAGGGGTGAGTTGTGAGAGTACCGACTAGAGAGGAAAATCAGTCTGGCGGCAGCATTCATTACAGACTGTAGCAGGGCAATAC